TCTAATTGTGTTAAACTATATTGCAACGGAAATGATTCACTGCCTAGTCGAGGGAGCGCTATGGGCACGACAGGAAGAGGAAGCAAAAACTGTGCTGAAAAGCACACAACCACCCGCCCCGCTGCAACTGCGACATTATGAAGAGGCCTTGCGAAAGAACAAAGCATACAGGTTAGGCGGTAACATGTTGTATGGACCCACAAACTACTTACTGGATGTTGTCTAATGTACAGAATTGCGCTTAATGTTGGAAAGCTGTCATTTGCTGTGATTTTTTTTTTTTTTTGACTGATTTTACCTTACTTATTTTAAGTAATTCTAAAAAGCAAACGTTTATGAGCATAAGGAAGTCGTATGATAATTGAGGAAGAAGTACTGTTTTATTAACTTTTTCCCCTCCTAACGCCTGGGGACGGGTTCAAAATTCCGGGCAGAGTCACTGTGGCACAAAGTTTGAAAACAGATTAAATAGAAAATTGATATTATACCATTTGAAATAAAAATTTTGTCTCGATACTTCCGAAAGTGAGTAATCTTATTTTAAGAAATTCGAAATAAACTTATTATTTTTTTTTTCTTTTTGAAAAGGGAACCTTTTAGAGAGGGACAGAAAGAAACAAAAATTAAATTTGGATAACAAGTGAATTTTGGCGAGAAATTTCTTATATCTGTTTATTTAGCTATCTAATTTAACTGAAAAATGTAAGTTTTATCACTCAGGAAGAATTGTTCAGTCGTTTTTTTTCTGCAGTTAATGCTAACTTTCAATTGTACAAAAAATCGTGCAAATGTTTGATTTTAAAAATTTGCTAATCTCTGATTACTGGAACAAAGTATCATCACTCATCTGCTTTGTTGTTCACACCCTCATCATGGAACTCTTGATATTTCCTCAGAGCTCAGCTGCTCGTTAGCTGTATCAAGCTCCCCCCTGCCCATAATTACCTCAATTCATAGAAAATACGCTGTATGAAGCGAAAGTCCTGAGAGCAATTTAAACACTTATGATAATATTTTCGATGATTCCCGCTTCCGGAGGATCGTTCTAATGAAAGCTAA